CTACCACGCAGGACCGAAAGTCCTGGATATGTTGCGTTTCATCAGAGACCATTATGGCTATGTAACTATTCGGTGTGAGGAATCAAAACTCTGATTCAAATTAACTTGCCAAATTAGCTTGACATCTGAATCAATTTGGATAATTTCAGATGCTGCTCTGCACATGTAGAAAAAACTGATACTATGTCTCTTCCAAATATGAGGGATGCATAACATTACCACCGTGTCACCATCATATTACAGGAATGGCATAATTCTTGGAAAACCACTGCACAGAAAATAAATAGGTTAGCAGTATGCCCTCTGGAGCCTTGTGATGACTCTTGCCTTACAAAAAATCTCTATAACAGAAGAACACTTTCTTATGTGACACCCATTCTTTGCAACACCATACCAATCAAGGTTACGTTGACTGATTTCACTTACTGCAGGTCTTTCAGAAAGTCCTTAAAACCTGGCATGGGGATCAGGAGAATAGTTGAACCTGTTGTGTAGGCTGCATGGTTTCCTTGATGGCCACGGCATGTTTTTTTTTTTTTTTTTTTTGGCTATGGTTATTCTTTATTTAATGTACTTTTTAATTTTTGTTAGCCTGCCAGAGTTGCATTTAGCGAGACATTTAGTAAGATGGGTGGAGACAGATGTGTCAATTGAAATCAATAAGTTTCCTTCCTGAAGTCAAAGTGCAACTCTTCAGGTGTCAATCAAGTAGCAACTGTACCACTCTCCCTGCACAATCATCAGTGTTATTTTGAGTGTTTTTTCTTCCCTGCCAAAGCAATCAAAAAGAATTATGAGGCAAGGCAGTGGCTGCAGCCCATTTTCTGCTTTTATACTGTCCAACTACATAGCCATCCCACAGTCCCTCTTCTTTATCAGTCCCTAGCTTTCGGAAACAGACATTGGCCAATCCTGCTTTAGAAGATCACTAATGGTGACCACCACCACCACCTCACCAGCGCCTCAGCTACAGTTTATTGAATAACTCACATCAACTATGCTCATATAACACACTAAACCAGTGGTTCTCAACCTTTTTAATGCCGCGATCCCCAACCAGTCATAAGTCAAGGACTACTCAACCGGTCATAAGTCGAGGACTACTCAACTGGTGCAGCACCGTTTTCAGAATGGGACTTTTAGCGGGCTCAGCAGGGCAGAGACAGCCTGGACAATTCCTATTGGCTTTTGAAAGCCAATAGAATTAGACTCTATTCAAGAGAGTCTATTCTATTGGCTTTCAAAAGCCAATAGAATAAAAGGGAGTAGCACAGCTAAGGAAAAGGGGGAAAAAATAGTGGACTGCGTTGTTTGGCGACCCCCGTGAAATGGTCGTTCGACCCCAAATGGGGTCCTGACCCACAGGTTGAGAACCACTGCACTAAACCATAATCACATTTTTGGCTCAGCATGATGCCTGAATACAGCATCATAATTAAGTTAACATTTTTTAGACTCAAATGTTTTAAAAGAGAATCAATACAAATTTTAATCCCAACTTCTTTATACTTCTATATTTTTGCTATTGTAACACAAGACAAGCGGTTATTTTATGCTCTAATCACCTATCTCCTATTTTTTTATTTCTATGAAAGCCAAAGCAATTTTGTTGCTACCTATCCAGGGTCAAAAGGCAATTTCATTACTTTTGCCTATCTTGTGTTTCTATGCTGCAACTTGCTGAAACATTTGTTACATACAACAGCCAAGCGGACTTGACAACCCTTTAATACATAAAGGTGTTAACTTTCTGCCCAGGTCTTTTGTTCTTTCCAAGTACTGTAACTGGTGACCAAAATAAAATTGCTTTCAAATATGCCCTTCTTTAGAAGAAGCTCTCTTTAAACTTCACACCATAAATAACAGCATAATGATTTATACCAGTGTTTCTCAACCTGGGCAGGTTTAAGATGTGTGGACATCAACTCCCAGAATTCCTTAGACAGTATGGCTAGCTGGGGAATTCTGGGAGTTGATGTCCACACATCTTACTTGCCAAGGTTGAGTAAGCACTGATTTATAGTATGCTTCTGTGTATTCTTGATTTGTGGAGTGACATTTAAAGGCTTCAAATGGAAGGTTGTGGCACCCAAAATGTGTCTTTTTTGTGATGTATGTGTGTGTGTTAATTATGTAACATTTGATCTCAGTAAGCCATTTAAAAATCTGAATCCCTTTTCTGCAAAAAAACATTGAACTTGGCTAGTAGAACAAAGAACAGTGAAAATTGATATTTATAGCACATTTTATATGATATACTCCCCTTGGAATATAACTCTTGTAACTTGGCATGATTAATGATAATTAATCACATGTATAGTGCTTTTTAATGTACCAAGTTGGTTTATTATCTCTAGCTGCATTTTTGCCCACATATAATAGCATGCTAAAGTTCCAGGGCTATTTTTACAGATGGGAAATGCAGTTAAACCACCCAAAGTCACCAGATGACATTTGAACTCTGAATTTGGAAGCCTGAATGCTAGAACGCCATCAATTTTACAATTTGCCTGGCTGGCCTATGTGACACTCCTGAGGTAAATCAATTACAATTGACCAAACATGTCTCCTACTGTTTTATTCTTTTAAAACCAGGGAGAATTAGCAGATATCATTCTATCCACGACAACTCGGATAGGGTGTTGCAAGGGTGATCCATGTTTGACAATTTCTACTGCAACTAAGCACATATTTCTCCTTTCTTTTTCTTATCTGTATCAATGTAAACAATTCTAAATGTCCAGTATAATGGTCCTTGCAAATTATGGAAGAACAACATGGGGACTTAGATTCATACAGGGTAATAAGCTGTAAACCATAAACCACAACCCTGCTAATTGTAATTTAATCAACAAACATGTTCAAAACATGGCTCTCCACAAAGCTTAACCCCAGTTTGAATTAGGGCTAATGATAGAGCACATGATTACCTAAAGGAACCTACCAATTCAATCATTATCTCCTGTTCGTTACAGCACTGGAGTTGGGGGAAAAACTAATCTGAAATTACGGAAAACTTCAGTCAATGAACAGAAGTCAGAAGTGAGCAACAATTTTGCATCCAAGGTCTATACCTGATTGTAAATGATAGAAGACTTCGGATTTCTATGAAACCATAGGGACAAGGTTCCAATTTCAATCCTATTTTTTTGCATTGGGCTGTGATTTAGGATAGTTATTTTTTACACTAGTAGGTGTGATAAGTACTTCAGAAGCTTAATGTGTCATTCTTTCAGCAGGAAATAGCATATCTGCAATCTCTGCTCTTAACAGAATTAACAAAAAAATGAAAATCCCTTTGCTTTCTTCTTAGCCACCCCAAGCATAATACCATATTTAACAACTTAAAATATGGAATTGTATCTTAAAGGATGGAACATTGTATCCAATTTTATTTTTTAAAAAAATAATTATAAAGTCAATTGAAAATGACTTTATAAACACCACAAAAACACCAAAGTCTTAAGTTTGGGCTTTGTCTACCTCTGTGTAAGGGCTAGGAATGCTTTGGCTGACACACTCTGAAGCAGACTGACTTACATAACATCTCCCAGCCTTATGCAACAAGGTAGCATTGCAGATACTTCTCCAGAGCCTCTCAAAGAAAAAAAAGGGACACAAACTGGATAAACAGAATTATGAAAAAGCAAATTCCAAAATCATCCATACTATCTCCCTGTAATGTATTCAGCATCAGAAAATAAAATTTTTCATACAGCATCTTCCTGCTGCTGGGAATCCTAACTGATCCCTCTATATATATCTTATATTTATATCTCAATTAATTAAGCACTGTAAAACCTATAGGGAATAAAGTATGATACATTGATGGCTGGTGCTTTTAACACATTTATTGGAGATTTGTAGCATGACTGTTAAATGAATGTTTAAGTGATCCTCCCTTTACCTTTCCACTTCAAATTATTTCCAACCTTTTTTTAAAAAAAGAAAACAAGTTATACAGATACATTTTTTTTCTTGATGTTTGGCAAAAAAAAAACCCTACTCATTCACTTGCTGCTAATAAGTGTGTATAAGGCTGAAAACTCAAAATAGATTTAGAAGCTGTTTTGAATGGTAAAAATGTTAACAGAATATTCCACTGGGGAAATATAACTTGACAGTTGACAACAGTGCAGTGATTAAGGTATTGGATTAGGACAAGGAAGACTAGGTTGAAGTCTAGCTTAAGGTATGGATGGTCCCTTGTCAGTGTCATACACTTTCCTAACAGGGCTGTTCTTAAAAAAGGAGCACTATGTATGCCTCTTAAATGTAAAGCAGGATATAAATCAAAGCAGCAAGCTGGCTGTCTTATTTATAGGAACCAATGGAGGCCTCAGAGTGAAGCAATGGGATTATGGAATTCACCTTTCTCTTCAAGCAGTTACCTCACACCTCCTTCTACAAGCAATAGTTCTAACCTTGTTGTTGTTAATTTTGTTAATTGTGAAGTCGCGACCCCATGGACAACGTTCCTCCAGGTCTTCCTGTCCTCTACCATCTTCTGGAGTCCATTTAAGTTCACACCTACTGCTTCAGTGACTCCATCCAGCCATCTCATTCTCTGTCTTCCCATTCTTCTATTGCCCTCAATCTTTCCCAGCATTAGGCCCTTCTCCAGTGAGTCCTTCCTTCCCATTAGGTGGCCAAAGTATTTGAGTTTCAACTTCAGGATCTGGCCTTCTAAAGAGCAGTCGGGGTTGATCTCTTCTAGGACTGACCGGTTTGAACGCCTTGCAGTCCAAGGGACTCGCAGGAGTCTACTCCAGCACCATAGTTCAAAGGCCTCAATTCTTTTGCGCTCAGCCTTTCTTATGGTCCAACTTTCACAGCCATACATTGCAACTGGGAAAACCATGGCCTGGACTATACGCACTTTTGTTGGCAGGGTGATGTTTCTAGTTCTAACCTAAACTTTATTAAAAATGTATGTCTCTAAGAGCAACCTAATGAAACATTAAGAGCCATTAGTTAGATTTATAAAACTCAGGACTAACTTGGTTAGTCTGTGACTCCAGTTGCTGTGTGGATCCAGCCAAGCATGGTTATCTAAACTGGAGCAATTCAGGAAACCATGGTTTAGTTAGCTACAACAGGTAAGCATGTTGTGAAATCACTTTAATTTGTGGATTCAGATTCCAATCTTCACCCAACCAGCTCAACTCAGTGGCTTTTGGTCAGTCTCAAGTTGTCACTGTAAAGATAAGAAGAAGAATAAAGAAATAGAAGTGTAAACTGCTTCAATGCTTTTAAGGAATACTGTAGAAGAATGCTTCTATGCTTTTTTAAAGCAACTAAATCCTCTCCTTTGCCAATCAACAGGCAGGAAGAAGAGGGTAGAGTTGACATCCAGGTCAGGAAATTCCAGACTTCCCAAATTCTGCTTCTCAAGAGCAGCCCCAGACTTGCAACGGAAAGAAAAAGAACCAATTCGTCTCAAGTTTATCTAAAAAGATCTCCTGCACCACAACAGAAGAAAACTGTGCCGTAACTGGCCAGATGTCTGAGGCCATGAATTCACATCATTTCCAAAAAGGAGATGAATCTACCATGTCTGAAAAGCCAGCGTTTGATGAAAGACTGCCGTTTGCCCCCCCCCCAATACATGTGTGGTTTTATCTTCTCTTTCCCCAGTTTTTCTCTCTTCCACCTCCCGCCATTTTCCTTTCATCTCCTGGCTTTGTTTCCAAGGCCTAAATAAATGATTCCGATTCTCCCAAGTCTCGCCAGCCGCGTCTTCTCTTACAGCAGCCCTCCAAGACGTATTCCTTCCCCCCCCCGCGACCCCACCCCCAAAGAAAGGCGAGGAAACCGAGCAACAGAAAAACCCAGTTCCTATGACTTGGATCAACTGCTCCTTCGGCTCGCAACCGGTCCCTCTTGGAGTCACCTCCCCGCCTGGGGTCAGCCCATCTTCCTCCGCTCTCCCTCCCCTTTAGGGTCCATCTGTTGGGCTTTTCAGAAACCTTCTCCTCCAGCGCCTGGCTCACACAAGCCCCTCCCTCCCTCGCTCCCTCCCTCCCTCCCTTGGGAATCTTCCCCGGCCGTCACCTAGGAAACTAGCCGATACCGTGTAAATAGGCACCCTGAAAAAGCAATGCAGCCGGTAACAAAGAAGCAATAAAGGAGCCGAGCTTTTCAAAATGAGACTAAGAGAAAGAAAAGGAAGGGAGGGAGGAGGAGGAGGGAAAAAAAAAACCCAGACTAGCTCAGTTTGTCCTCTCCACCCCTTTTGATGCAGATGCTGGAAGAGAAGCCTCTCGCCGCCTTCTAGACAGAATTCGCAGCAATTTGAACCAAGGGAGACCAGATAATGCAGATGGGACGTAACCGCGGTTTTTCCCCCCCCCCCCAGTGAAGAAAATCAACAGGCTCCAAAGCGCATTTTACAAGCGCCTGGATGTTAATGGATTTATCCAGATTACGTTTCGGTTCGGGAGTGCCACATGTTCACAAAAGGGGTCGGTTTTCTTCCACTAGCTCTGCCGACTGCCTGCCCGGGTTCCCTAAAGGACGATAAGCCATGCTTGTTGGCACTGTGCATGTCTGCAACAAAAAAAGAAAAAAAAAGCAGCTTTAGGGAAATATAGAGGGTGAATAATTCATCGAATTGAAACAGTGTGTTCCCTCCCCTTTCTAAAAGAGAAAAATGAAGATGAGAATACAAGAGACGCGTTTTGCACGAATGGCTTTCCATCCGGAGATCCATATTCCCGGAGTAGATAAAACTGGAGAAAGGAATTGTATTTGAAAGAATACCGCGGGGGAGAAATGGCAATGAGGAAGGAAGGAGGAGTTTGATGTTAAAAAAAAAAAATGCCTTGTGTATTTTGCCCGCAAGAAATGAAATATTCCTTGACTGAGTGCCATCTTGCTAAAAATACTAGAATGTTGGCAGCACCGGGGAGGGGGGCTTGGGGTCTGTACAGCGGCAAACGCGTAAGTCTGCACTCATCACACAATGAAACGGGGGAGGGGAGAGATGAGAGAAAAAAATACATGCCATTAATCTTGAATTCTTCATCTTCTCCCCCCCCCACCCCAGCAGCCCACCGGCTTCTTTAATGTTTCCGGGAGAATATATCTAATTCGCTCGACCCCTTGGTATGTGCTTTGCAAGCAACGAGGCGAGAGAATTCCCCCCCCCACACACACACACGACATTTCCTATGGCTTCACTGTAGTGATTTAAACCAAGGGCTAGAAGAAGCAACTCAGCAAGGATTAAGCAGTTAAACGCATCTGCTCGCACTGGCAAGGGGTTGTGGGGAAATGAGAAACTCTTGATAGGATCCGGCTGCTTCTTGCTTAAAATGAGCCGCCCCTTTCTTTCGAAATCCAGAATCTTGGAATGGTCCTACAATACAAATACATCATGGCTCCGACAAGCAACATATAAAACGATTTAGATTTGAGCTCCATTGACTTTGGAAGCCTTTTCAGTTACACGTGGATGCTATTTAGGCACACACGGAGAAACAGACATTCCTACGGTACTAACTTCCTCATCTAAAAAAAAAAAAAAAAAAGGTTTCGCATTCTCGGCAGTTTCCAAAAAGATTGAAATCAGAACTAAGCAGACAGCGAAATGTAATTAGAGCCGTAGGCTCCTCACATTTTTTCCCCCCACTCCGTATTGTTGGGGGAAGGGATTAAGCGTTCTACCGCCAAGGTAACAGCGGCAGCTGCTTTAAGCATTTTTCACATCTGGCCTACAGACCTCATAATTTTCAACTCATGATCTCCCTTAGCGAAACTCGATCTACGTGGTTTAAATACCTTCCAAATTGGGAGAATTGAACAATTGCAACCAATTAAAGGAGGAAAAGGACCAACCCTCCCTATCTGTTGATTTTTTTTTTTCTGGAGAAGCTGGAGTGGGCAGGAGGGGGGAGTAGAGGGGGTGGCAGCGGGGGCGAGAAAATGAAATCACAAACGCACACAAGTCAAACCATTGTCTGTAACTTAACAGGGGTGGGGAGGGGGAGAGACTCAAGACACCAAACAGAGGCTACCAGCCCTGCAAGTCAAAATCCTCCCTCCCCCCCCCTTTATTTATTTTTTTTACGGAGCGTTTGGCAGGGGGCAGTAAACACCGTGTATCCTTCGATTTTTCTTTTTAGCAAGAAATCAAAGTACAAGTCTTAATGCCACTAATTTATTTATGTTCTTCGGAGTATTAATTATCAGTCCAAGGCCGAATTCAAATTATTGCAATCGCAGCTCCATTGTTCGCTCCAATTGGAGGCCCCGCCCTCCCTTTTGTCTGGCGGTGCGTTGATTGGTGGACGGCGGGTGGGGGCTGCCGTCAGTGCCTGGGAAGCCCATTCATCTGTGCACTTGGGCGTTGGACTCCGCATCTTATTAGCGACCAGGGAGATTTCTCCATTTTCCCCTTGTCTACAGTACGGCTACAAATCTGGGATTTTTTTTTTTTATTACTTCTTTTTTTTTGTACTAAACTTGGGCTTCTGAGATTTTTGCTCGACTATTTTCCTGCCTTTTTATCCCCCTTTCTTCCTCTGCTGCTGTCTTTTTTTGACCTCTCCAGCTTTATTAAAAAAAAGGAGTGCATATATTTAAACATATTCGGCTCTCTTCTCTTTTTCCCCCCTCCTCCCCCACTGGGGTGTGTGTGTGTGCGCGCGCGCGCGCGTTTGTGTGTGTGTGTGTATCGCTGCTCTTCAGGCTGCTGGTCGCCCAGCATTTATACGAACGAACCTACTGTTCTTTGTTTGCCTTCTTTTGGATCTGCCGAGTTTCTTTGTTGACTAAACCAGCATGGGTGCCCAGTTCTCTAAGAACGCTGCAAAAGGCGAAACTACTGCTGCTGAAAAACCCGGAGAAGCGGTAGCTGCATCTCCTTCCAAGGCGACTGGACAGGTAAGAAAAGGAGCGGCTGATACATTGTTACTGGTTTCTGGGCTGAGTGCAATGTTTATTCTGCTTCCCCCTTTCTCTTCCCGGGAGGGGGTATGTGGATGGCTTTTAAATTGATCGCAACTCCCTCTTTAAAACAAATAGTGGCTGTTCAAGGCACCGTGTTTAGGTGGGATTTTATTTTGAACCAGTGTAATGCAGTGGTAAGGGGGACAATGCGAGATGCTTGCCTACTGTGTGGTGTCCTTTTCTTCCTAGCTGGTCTCCGCAGGAAAGCTTTACCACCACCTTCTTTTGGGGGGGGGGGCTTATATGTGCTTTGGTGGTTTGATTGAATGTGCTCTCCCGCGGTTTCCTGTATTTTAACAGGCTGTTACCCCCATCCCCGCCTTTGGCGCCTAAGGGAGATCTTGTCGATCGTGTCAGAACTGCCGGAGATACCTGAAAGCAAGATCGAGGTTAGGGGCGCTGGAGTGTTGTCCGCGGTATAGAGGAAGGGGCTGTCGAGCGTAAATTGTCCTTCTCCATCTTGCTGGCTTGGCTTGCTGGCTGGCTGATTTATCTCATAGCTTAAGCCGCGGTAGCCTGTTCTACTGTTCCTTCCGCTGTGGCCAGTTTAACGCAGCTGCTCTTCTAAAATCCGGCGACTTTAGGATGAGAGTGCGGGGAGGCGTTGCGGCGTGTGAAATGTAAACTGGCGCCCTTCCTGGGGAGCTGGCCCGCGTGGGTCCCTCGCTGCGTCTTGAAACCTGGGAAGGTGTTGCAATCCGCCCCGTATCCAGGCGCTTTGTGTTGTCCTTCCAGTGTGTCTAGGGGTATTGGACTTATCCCACCCGTGCTGTCGGCTAGTGCCAGCTTGGCTGCGATATGCCACCCTGTAGTTGCTCCAGAAAGAACCTTTGAGGCGGGTTCAGCCCAGAGCCAGATCGAGCAACAGATGTGATTGTGAGTGGTGGCAGCGCCTCTGGCCTTGATTAAACCGAGGCGGAAAGGAGGTTGCCCGTTTTCTGCTTTGGAACCGAGGAAGGTGATAGGAGAAAAGAAAGCGGGCTTGGGGAGAAGCGACGGGTAGCTTTGTTCGCTCATTGGAGCCGATTCTGGCCGAGGCGCGAGCTCGCTCCTCCTTCAGCGTTGTTCCAGGGCTGTCCCACCGTCGGCCTAGAAGAGTACAAGATGGAGACATAGTGCCCTCTAGAGGCCGACGCTCGCTTGGTAGCGGCTTCGCTCCGTCGCGGAAGGGAAGCGCGGACGAGGGCCGGGCGACGTGTCTGGAGAATGATGACGCAGGCTTCTTGCCGCGTAGCCCCCTTCAGAGATGAGCCGGAGGAAAGGCGTGGGGGCGTGGCTTGGCTCGGTTCTAAAGTGGCGTGTTCTCCCTTCCTCCCAGCCTCTGGCGACACGTCACGCCGCTTTCCTCCAAGAAAGCAGCGGGAAGGTCTGTGGCAACGTGCTGCCACAGACAACGAATTTGGCTTGATCTTGCTCTGCCTCTCTTAAAGCTTGTAATCCTTGGCTATTTGTTTATTTTGTTTCATTGTTTGGGTGCCTTCAAGTGAATTTTGACTCTTGGTGACAGCATGGACAAGTCCCTGCATTTTTCTTGGTGGTTTTTTTTGGGGGGGGGGGTGGTTTACCATTGGCTTCTTCCTTGGGCAGAGAGAAAGAGAGCGCCACTGGCCCAAAGTCACCCAGCTGGCTTTCTTCCCATGGCAGGACTAGAACTCACAGTCTCTGAGTTTTTAGCCTGGTGCCTTAACCACTGGAGCGAAGTGACAGGGCTCTAAAACTTCAGTTGCTCCATTTTTGCTTTGGAGAAATGGCCGGCAGTGTTTTGCCCCTTGGTGCCTTCTGGATTGGAGTTTGCCTCCCAGAATTCCCCAGTGGGGAGAGCTTCTGGGAGATGAAGTCCACTTGGAGAGGCTGTCTTGTGCTGGGTTTTAAGAGAGTGTGCCCTCCAATAATGCAGTGATTTTCCTCTTCCAGGAGAACGGCCATGTGAAGGTGAACGGCGATGCCTCCCCGGCAGCTGCAGAGGCTGTCAAGGAGGAAGTCCAAGCAAACGGCAGTGCGCCAGCGGAGGAGTCAGTCAAGGAAGAGCAGAGCCCATCCGAGGCTGCTTCCGAAAAGGAGACCGCCGAAGCGGAGAGCACAGAGCCCGCCTCGCCTGTTGAAGGGGAGTCCTCCTCCAAGGCTGAGGAGGGAACAACCCCATCTTCCAGTAATGAGACCCCGAAAAAAAAAAAGAAGCGCTTTTCCTTCAAAAAGTCTTTTAAGCTAAGTGGCTTTTCTTTTAAAAAGAACAAAAAGGAGTCTGGGGAAGGAGCAGAGAACGAAGGTGCGGCCGCTTCAGAAGGCGGGAAAGCTGACACGGCGGCAGCAGCTGACGCGGAGCCTGTGGGCAGTGAGGAGGCCAAGTCTTCCCAGGAGGCGTCGCCTTCAGCCCCGGCCGCTGGTGGCAGCACGGAGGACGCCAAAGAGGAGACTGGGGGCTCCCAGGAAGCCCAGCTGGAAGAGACTGCCCCGGAGAAGCCTGCAGGAGAAGAAGCCAAGGCTGCTGAAGAGCAGAAGCCGGAGGAGAAACCGGAAGAGGCGCCAGCGGCTCAGGTCCCAAGTGCTACCACCGAAGCCACCTCAACTGAGCCAGAGGCAGCCAAAGCAGAGGAGCCGGCGGCGGCGGCAGCAGCAGCTCCTTCACAGGAAGCTGCCTCTGAGTCTAGTCCAGAAGCTCCACCCACCGAATCGGCAGAGTAAAACAAGGCAGTGAAAAGAATGGCGATTTTGAGATGATTGAACTTTTCTTCCCCCCTGTTTGTTTGTTTGGAGTGGTGCCAGGTACTGGTTTTGGAGAACTTGTCTACAACCAGGGATTGATTTAAAAGATGTCTCTCTCTCTCTTTCTCTCTCTCTCTCTCTCTTTTTTTCTTTCTACCCACAGATCCCATCTAAATCATTCTGTTACCACCATTCCAACTCTGGTAGAGGAGAGACTAAATTGCCCTCCCTTTGCCTTGCTCCTCTTTTTTTACATCAGTATTAATGTTTATTGCATACTTCACATCTTTATTCAAAATGTAAACTTTTTATTTTTTATTTTTTTTTATTTGTCAGTCTATGGACATGCCCATATATGAAGGAGATGGAGGAGTCAATAAGGGATAGCAAATGAAGTGATAGGGGTCACAATGGGGAATTAGTGGTGCAGATAATTTGCCAAGAAAATGTGCCACAGGAAATAAGGGGTTTAGTCTTTTTTTAAAAAAAGAAAGTTATTACAATGTATTTTGTGAGGCAGATGTTCTATAAGGTTTACAACACTACAAGTCTTGATTAAGAAAGAAAAAAAAATCCAATACTCAGATTAAAAAAAAAATCATAGTCTTAGGAAATTCATTTAAACCATAGGAACTTTCACTTATCTCATGTTAGCTGTACCAGTCAGTGATTAAGTAGAAATACAAGTTGTATAGGCTTTATTGTTTATTGCTGGTTTATGACCTTAATAAAGTGTAATTATGTATTACCAGCAGGGTGTTTTTAACTGTGACTATTGTATAAAACAAATCTTGATATCCAGAAGCACATTAAGTTTGCAACTTTTTGCCACCCTGCCCATTTTTTTTTTTTTTTTTGTAAAATTGCAGTAATCTTGGACCTTTGAAAAAAACAAAACAAAAACCACACACTATTTTAAACTCAACCAAGCTGTGATAAGTAGAATGGTTACTGTTTATACTGTGGTATGTTTTTGATGACAGCAGACAATGCTTTCTTTTTCCAGTTGTCTTTGAAAATAAAAAGAAATTTTTTTCAGATGCAATGGTTTTTGTGTAGCATCATGTCTATCATGTTTTTTGTAAATACTGGAGAAGCTTTGACCAATTTGACTTAGAGATGGAATGTAACTTTGCTTACAAAATTGCTATTAAATTCCTGCTTAAGGTGTTCTAATTTTCTGTGAGCACACTAAAAGCGAAAAAATAAATGTGAATAAAATGTAGAATTTGGCTGTGTTTCTTTTTCTGGATACTCTTGATAGCTTAGTTGATTACTTGTATTGTTTAAATTTGTATAAAAAAGGCACTTGTTTGCCCCTTAACATTACTCTCAATTTGTGTAGTATAGATTGCATGGCCTCCTGGCCCTATTAAAACCTATATCTGGAGACAGAAGCTTTAAGGCCTTCTAAATAGAGGTGTGAATTGGATTTTAAACTAGCCATGCCATTGTGGACACCCAATTGGCTAATACTGAGTTCTGGGGAGAAACTAGATTAAGAGACCAAACGTGTTTACAACATGTTTGCACCAGTTGACTTCAGCTAGAATGGGTATGTATGTAATCAAATCCTCAAGGATCGCCTTATAGTATAGATGAGTTATTTCTTAGCTTGAGTTGACTTGACACTTTAGCTGTGGTTGTTTGGAATATCTTGGGACTGAACCTGAGTTTTCCAACAGGGACACCAGAATTCAGGTGTCAAGACAGCAAAAGGTCCAATCTTACATGCAAGTTCTTAACCATTTTCAACATTATTTCAGTGCCTAACTTTAACACAATCTGTCTGGAAGTTTGGGCTAGAGTTAAAAAAAAAAGTGTTTGTTCTACCAAATGAATGAGCAATACTTTTTGTATATTACTCCCAACTATACATTAACAAAAATTGCTATATTTGTCTATAAAAGTCACTTGGTGCTTGCCTTTAACTGTTTAAATATTTGGGCTAATTTCCACCTTGCTGCTCAGGGCAAAACAAGGCCTTAATAAAACAGTAGTAGGCTTTTGTAAAAACAAATAATGGAGTATTAATGTTGTTGGAGGATGGAAATTGATTCAAAGAAGCATTGTTCCTAGGTTTATAGATGAAATTTAGTGTTAACATTTAACTTGCTTCCCTGTGTTTTTCAACTGTAACTTGCTTTAGAAGCAATTACACTTATTTTATGAGCGAGTGGCACGTTAGCACCTTGTTCCCTGAAAAACAAAATCTGGGCTGAATGAGGTTCAATGGATTCCATTCCGAATACATACTCTTACTCAGCTATTCATTTTTTTTTTTTTTTTGGCTTGTATATATACTCTGGTCACCCTGGTATTTCTCTGTAGTGTTAGAAATGTATTGACTATTATGCTTTAAATGGCCATGGGATGAAATAAATGGATGTAAAATCTTCCATACCAGTGTCATTTTTGGACTCCATCTGTGAGACACTTTCTAATCATAATTCTTGATAAGTGTTGATGTGGTTGTACACCTGATCTGTGACTCTTGGCCCATCATGTGTTTTTAAGTCATTAAAAAATAATAAAACTAGCTGTCATTTACACCTGCATACAGAGTGATTTAAATTGAATTATTTCTTTTATCCCTCCACCCAAGTTGTTTCAGCTGGGCCAATGTAGCTGTAGATTGTGGGGTTATGTGTGTCCTGAGGGATATTCCAAGGAGTCATCATTTGCTGCAACTGTGTAGAGTAACATCTAGGATTGGATTTGTCTATGTAGAATATAGCTCTTAGAGCTGAATGCAAGCCACAATGGTTTTTTTCTTAAAGATGCTTATTGCTGTTGGGCCAAATTCTTATAATGTACCCACCCCAAATTATACTAATTTGCTTTGCACTTTTTTCTTGCAAGGGTATAGATCAGAGGTGTCAAATTCGCAACGTCACGTGACGTATCACAACTTTTTTTGCCAGTGCTGGCAATGGGATGGGCGCAGTTTCACCATGACGCATCCAGTTTGACACCCCTGATATAGATTAAGAGCATGCATAATACAGAAAGTAATTTATGCAAAGCCATGTAATGAATGCACTGCTTTATTTCCACCAGTACATCAAGCTCTCCAGTAGAAAGCAAAGTGTAAATCTTATAGAGTGGAATTTTTAATTACACAATGAACGCAGAAGTTGGATAATTTGTCTTGGTACTGGAAACTGATTTTAATTTTGCCAGCTGCCTAGTAGGTCACCTAATGTTTTGGACTTGACCAATACGGCCAGTAGTGAAAGATTGGGAGGAGAGTAAATGCTAAGAAATACCATGTTGCCTCCAATTATTCAGGAAAGATTTGCTGCGAAGTCTACTAATCTTAACTCCATTTTAAAATATAAGGCTGCTACTTACTAGTACCACCATCCTCTTTTCATGATTTTCTGTAAGAAAAGTTTTAACACTAAAATGAAAATCTCTGCAGCTTCTTAAAAATGAAGCACATACTAATATTTGCTAATAATATTTTTGGATAGAGCAGACCAATAGCAGATTCCTATGCTGTACACATGGCACATATGTGTATGCTTAAATGTATTTTCAGATGAAAAATATACAGAATGTTTTAACAAAATAGAACTTTTGAGCACCATAACTTGAAACTATTTTCCTAATTTACCTGGAATAAAAATGTCAACATTAAGTATCAATAATACTTAATATTAGTGAAATTTTAAGATCAGCTCTTAGCAACAATATAATCAAGGGCTGTATAAACACTCAAGATGGGAAATCCAGTTTGTGAAGATAGAAATAATGAGAAAAGTATTAGAAATCTCATAATCATGAGCTAGATAGACTTTATCTCTGAAAAGAAAACCATAAAGAGCTGGCTGTTTCCCCTGGGAAGCAATGATTTAAGTTTATGCCACCTGACTCCCAACAACTCTGGGTAGTTGATAATTAGAATATACAGTGACTAAGGCTGTCTGTGCTGAATGATTATGAGAATTTCCGTGTATCACTAACAATTTTAAAAGATCTGATACTACATGCAGTATTTGGTAAATGGGATTTTGAAAGGGTTTCCAAGACTTTAAGCTATTAGAAACACTGCATAGCATACACTTGTTCATTTTAGAAAATGCCCAGAATATATTAAAGGTTTCAATAGGTTGGTTCAAAATTGAAATATGATGAGTAAAGCATTTTGATAGTTTTTTAGTAACTTTTTTTTCTGATACATTGCAAATGATTGCTTTTGTATAACTTTTTCTGGAAAGAATATGTAGAGAAATTGCTGTATAAATCTAGTAATACTTACTTTTGGATGACAAAATAACAATACTTGTATACAATTACAAAGGATAATGTAGAAATAAATTGTTAGTAATCAATGTAACTGAAATAATACAAGTAGTAAATATGAATTTGTTATCCACATGCCTCAGAATCCTTTAAGAGGTTTGTGTTTTAATATGGATATGTATTGACTCCATTTTAAGAATTATCTTGCTGCATATGCAGTTTGAACTGCATTTTTTTAAAAAAAACTATCTCTTAATCTAAAGAAATTTTCGAAGTCCTTGTTTGCTTGAAGAGAAAATGAATTAAAGCTAAAAGAAGAGGATTCAATAGAAATGGATTTTTAAAATGTCCTACCAGCACAAAAGACACCTGTATGTGTTTATAAATCTTAATGTTGATACACACTTTCAGAAACCCTTGGAATTATATGGGCTACTGTTTTTGTTGGATCAAAGCCAGGGGTCTGCTTTTCTTCCATCCAGACCTTTGCTGAACTATTTTTATTTGTTCTTACTTTTGGATACTACAGACTGTTATTCAGAAACTCTCATCAATATTTGAGATCTTTGGCTGAGATCTTGATGTCTCTGAAGTGACTGTTTCACTGGTTGGAATGTATCTTACTTGCTTATTATTAGCAGTACTATTATAATTAACTTGAAATGATGAAGCTGGTGCAGTTATTCCAATGATGAATATTGTTTATTATCTATTGCCTTTGGAGGAAGCAAAAGATCCTGTTGGGATCTGTAGTGACATATAGTGGAAGCTAGGGAGTTTTAACCATGCTTATCAAAACAATCCCAGTGCAGGGAATAATGCAAGCTGAATAATGTGAAAACAGCACAATGTCAAAAAAAGTAGTAAAAAGCACCCGTTGGCTCCCCCTCTCCTATTGATGGCCTGAATGGAAAAGAGTATTATTTAAGTCAAAACTGGTCCAGATCCTGTATTTTTCTCTTTTCCTCTCCATTCCTTTCATGTGATGTCTTTTAGATGCTGTGTCTGAAATTCTTCCTGTTTTAAATGGAGAATTATGCAGATGTTTAACCCTTTTTGCTTCAACAGAACTGAAAAGTGGAAAGAATACTGTCCTTTAATTTTGAGAGATTGATCCATAATTTGATGATGGTAGCCAACTGTACAAGCATATCAGTCACTAGCAGACTGATATTATCTTTATGTGCAAATGCTTTAGAATTCCCTGACCCAACATGGTGACCACATCACTCATTGCAGTATCCCTAACAGGAGTAGCCTTTTCATTCTGATAGGCCTCTGCTAAAATACCCTTCATCTTCTATTTGCATTGGTATTATAGCCCTTCCAGGCTTGCTGTTTAAAAGAAGAAAGTAGAAATAACCTGTAATTTCCAGAAAATCAGTTAGAAGAATTCAGTTTCATTGTACAACTATTTTTTTAAAAAAAAAATCTTTAAGTGTTATGATCTTTAAAATGCCATTGGTAATTTTCTCAAATCCAGCACAGCACTTGAAAGCAGATTGTGTTTCCCTTTGGATTAGAAAGGAGATCAAAGCTTTCTCTAAATATTAAATATTATTTTTTTAAAGATTCAAAATGCTTTTTTTTAGGTGGATACCCATTTATAGAAAACCTAACAGATTTTTGGATGGAGAAACCACATTACAACTAAATACATTCATAGTACATACTTCATTATTTACTGTTAACGAGTACAATAAAGTCTGTTGTTCTCTCCCCACCCCCAAGCTCCGTCTTGGAATGTACAATTCTTCCTTCTCTGTCCTCTTCTAGTCAAATTTTCACAATTTATTTATCTTCCATGCTATTGAATGCCCAGTCACATGATAAACATTTTTGGCTTTGCTTCAAGTTACTGAAGAATGGAAACATCTGTCAATAACAAATCTGAATTTTAGAGGTGACCACATCACCTGTTTTTGCTGCTTGTAGATATGAAGGGTTAATAGCAAGCCATACTTAATGAGAAAATTGTGTTTGCTTTTAAACCTTATACATTCTGGAATGGTTCAATGTACACGTATGACCTGAAATAGGACAAGGTTGAGACAAAGCTAATTTAAAGGACACTTAACTTGCATTGCAACCCATATCTAAGGTTCACGTGTAAAGTTCTTTGCTGTGGTCACAAAACGTATCACATTGGGAACATAAGAAACTGTTGTTGATTTCAACCATTCATAGATCTGTTCTGAAAATTTACAAGAGTATTGCATTATACTGTAGTGTTTTGAGTGCATGTATCTCTGTAGATTCCCCCCCCCCCATGGAAGATAAACAAAACTGTCCCAAAAGGGATATTTTCAATTTTTCTACATATATTAATTCAACTTATATTGCAGATTTTATTTACAATACTTCTAGCTTTTCAAAAAGCAGGATTCAATAATGGCTAGGCAAATACGTTTTTTTATTAGATTAAATCTTTATACAGAAAGGGAAGGGGGAGGAGAGATATGTGTTTCACAAACAGCTCTCTGGTGCCACCAAGAGGCCACTGTGTTGCATTACTGGGGATTCCCATTTCCTGGTTTAACGATGCCAATGTATCGCTGCCAATGTATTGCTGCGGAGGGCTGTGCTCCAATTGGGAAAACATGAAAATAATAAGCTGGAATAGAATGTACCTTCCAGGTTTTCTCAATTATATGTTTTCTTATTAACATTCCACAGAGGCAATACTTTCATTAGGCCACTCAGAACTATGTACAATAATTTCTTTGGGCAAAATAGGTAAAAATGCTGCCTAGGCACAATCCAGAAAGTTATTTGCCTTGTAGTAAGATTGACAGACTTCCCAGATATATTGCAGATGTTGTGTGTAAAAGGAGTCATTACAGATGATGCCAACAGGGATGTTTCATATTCCTATCACAGCCTAAGCAGAATTTTTCCAACAGACAAAAGTACAATGTATGGACAAGTAAAGTTATCTAATATTCCATTCAAATCAGTGTAAGAAAAGTTTATTTATAGCCATTAATCAGTCAGATACAGTATACCCAATAATAACAAAAACAATGTAGGAAATTAAATATGAGAATAACACCACAAATAAAAACAGAATAATAACATGATAGAATGGTGAAAAGGGATTAATTTGGGCTGTACAAATTTTGGGAACCCTCTGAATCCTTCAAATCAATGT